TTGGTAGCTTATAACTCTCAAGACCAGAAAATAAGGGCGAAAAAGAACATTTATTATTTAAATTTCCATTGTTTCGCAATTTGCTTTGATTATGTTAACGCTTGCTGTATCTGCTTGTCGTCTCGCTGACTAAACAATATTAGTCCTAATCAAATGGTATTTGTACCGAAAATGCTATTGTGGGGACAAAAAACTTTAGAATCAGTCAGAGTCTAGATAAATTCCGCGAAGATTCTTTCTTTTTTTCACGGTGCGTAGTTCGAAAATCTACGTAGGACCAAAATCCGGAGGGAAAAGGTGTAGCCATCAAATTCGTTTAGAAGACACCAGAATCAGATGAAATGTTTTACGAAATGATAGCCTTCAGCAATGGTTTATCTGCGAAACAAAGAATTTGAGTTTTAAAAATTGTTCTTTATGAAATGTCTGTATTCCGGTTCACTGGTACAAAATCTTAACATTTCGACATAACTAGTAAAATTCCTGGAATTTGTTCTGGTAGCTTCATTTTGGTGCGTTCTTGTCCTCTGCACTCTCTTGCGGCACATCTCATCTAAAAGCCTCATTACTAAACAGCTTTTATTGTAGCGCCAGACTGCTGAGAAAAGTGTTTCATCACAGCAAGTGATGTCGTACCCGCTGAGGAAGCAGCATCTGCTCGACAAACACGTCATCGAAAAGTAATGCAAAATCATAGTTTCTTGGTTAGCACAAGCCAGGCTTAAATTATCCCTTATTCACCCAAGATTAGCAAATGGTGAGTAGCCTCCTCCCTGTTGCACAGAAAGTTGGGATGATCTTGTAAAATGAAAGAAATTCACTGTTGCGTCTACCTCACCCATGAATTTTCTTTCGCAGATATATGGAACTACCGCAGGGTACTAAGGTACAAGCGAAGTACATCTGGATCGATGGAACCGGCGAATATCTGCGCGCCAAAACGAGAACTATGGACGCAGAGCCCAAAGGCGTAGAAGGTTAGCTTGTTTCTGTCCGTTTGTAACTTATTTGTCTCCTGTGTCCGTTTTTCCGAACACTTGTCTTTATTTACTTTTGTTTCTTATCACTGAAGATTCCGTATACAAATTTATTGCAATATTGCCTGACAGGGTGCTGCAAAACTCGATTTTTAAGGAATTCAGGAACTGTCCTGAGTTAACGAAAGGCTAGAAAAAGAGAAACGCCTTTATGATCAGAAGAAAAAAAGATTAAAATGAAATTCCTTCATAAACTAACCGTTCTCACACACATAAATTGGCCTGCTCCACACGACCTAAATTCGGTGCTCAAGTTTCTTTGGATTTTCTGGTCTCATTTTTTCGTACTATGCAGCCAGGATTGAAAGGTCTGACGTAGCTCCAGTCGAAGTGTGAGAGAATTCCAGTTACATTAGCAAAGAATAACGACACAGTGCCTTCAAAAGTCTTGGTATTTTGTTTGGTAATATTCCCGTCATGCTCAGATGATTTGGACATCAGCATTCAAGACAGATTTGTTGTTCGAAAAACTCGAATTAAAAATTTTGAAATTACAGCGTGCAACATTTATTTACCCCCACGTAAACATGCTTAGACGCAGCAGTGATCTTAAAATCTTTTTTTGTAAAACATATGTGAAACCGTAAAGAGAAAATGAAAGTGTCGTTTTTCAGACTTGCCGGTGTGGAACTTTGATGGCTCGTCAACAGAGCAAGCTATCGGCGACGACTCCGATGTGTATCTCGTGCCGGTCGCCATGGTTCCGGATCCATTCCGTCGTGGACCTAATAAACTGGTCCTGTGCGAAACATATACAAATAAAAAGGAGCCAACAAGTTTGTCTCCTATTTTTTATTAGTGGGCGCAGAATAAAACGAAATGCAGTGCTGCCTTGGTCGAGGGTTTGACTCCGTCAGAAAGGCAAAAAATCCCTCAGTTGTTCTTCTATTCGTTTCGATGGTGAATCGGTACCGACGAATGCGGCGGATTCAAACTTGCTGGCAGCTTGCATATGGTAAACCCTCAGATGACGGAGCCAGCTGAAGCGTTGCCAGCGTGTGGACACTGTTTAGAACTTGCTACCGCTCAGATCACTCCCGAATGCCTTCGATCTCTTATAGAGAGCGAATAAGAGGAGATTTTTGACAACTTTGGCAATGTCATAAGAAACAGGACAGTGAAATACGGTAAAGTGCGACACGTGAGAGCAGAAAACAAATGAATGCAACTAATTCAGTCTGTGTAAATAACCCAGTGCAAATGATTTGAACAGATGCACTCCTCAGTGCGTCCACATTTCAGCTTGCTTGCAGACCTGTACCTTGCAATTTGCCCAGAACCCATTATTGCAGGGCTGACAACCCGTGGACATCGTATATTAGTGGGTGGTACTTATGAGGAAATAAATAGCCACTAGCACTGCTTCTGATGAAGTGGCGAACATAGCCGAACAAACTATAGCTTCTGTCTGGAGATACTGCAGTGTAGAATCCAGGAGCATGAAGTAGTTGTGCCCGACGTGTGGGATTATGCCAGTAATGTCACTGATATGGCAGTCACACCAATTGCCCCTGGCAGTCAGATTAATTTTGAAGAATCTGAGGCTAATTTTCATATTTAGAAGATATAGCTAATTTTTGTCCGAGCAAAGAAAAATTTCAGCAAAAAGAGAACTGGTAATTTCGAAAGACGAAAGAAATAGTAAGTAGGCAAACTTGTTTAGACCAAAGCTTTCAGGAACGAATCATCGGAGGCGATGTGAGGAAGTGATGAAGACAGTGGCTGATGAAAAACCATGGTTTGGAATGGAGCAGGAATATACGCTGTTGGATGCAGATGGATATCCATTTGGCTGGCCAAAACACGGCTATCCGGCTCCACAAGGTCCCTTTCATT